GAATGTTAGGACTGAGAAATCAGTATTAATTGTATTCGTCTTGAAAGTTTATAAATAGTCTATATTTGTAAAAAGTCAACGTGTTTGACTTTTCTTATAGGTTTGACTTTGATCTTGTCTTTGTATGTTTGACCATATAAATATGGTTAAGTCTTTGTAATTAGGGTGAGAGGAGATTCATTGTAAGATTACGTGCATAATAGAGAGTTTGACCAAAGCTTAGAAGATTGACTTTTTCTCTCTCAATGTTCTTGATGTTCTTAATGCAATATCAAGATTCTGCCATGATTGTTATGAAGCTAAATGAAGATTGATCAGTGATTTCGACCTCACACATGGGTAAGACAATCCCATCTCCTCGCAACACACTGGTGCGAGGACCTCAACTCATCGCATCACACTGAGATTGTGGACAATTATCATGATTCATTAATTATAACTGAGATTTCTATGGAAATTGAATGGGTAAAGTTCATTTATTATGATTATGATTTTAGATTAGGAACAAAATGAAATCAAATATTTATTAGATTAGATTGGTCTGTTTAGTTTGTTAAAATTTGATGGTTTGCAAATGAAACTTCTTTCTCACACATGCACGTGCGTGCACGCGCACGCACACGCGCGCACACACACACACACACACACACACACACATATATATATAGGATATATTTCAAATGCAACCACGTCTATTTGTACAACCAATGCAACTCAATCAATTGAGATATTTATGGAAATGATGAGAGTTCATTTATTATAATTTGAATATTTATGGAAGATTAATATAGTTCATTAATTATGACCAATACTTTATATTAGAAAACAATCAAAACTTTTATGAAATCATATATTCATCAAATTAAATGGACAGTTAAGATTGAATTGTATTAATACAAATGTAAAGAGTTGCATAGTAACCCACCTCTCTATATATAACACATAATAAATTAAGTTAACACTTCAAATTTGATAAGAATATAAAATAAAAACAGAGAAAATAATGGGGACCAAAAGTAAATAAACATAAAATTCCACGTGTATATATAAATTGTAACCCTAAATTTAGAATTGAAATCTTCAGTTGACTGATTATAGTTGCATAGCAATATGTGGTTTAAAATCATTTTAAGAAAATCTCCATATTTACTTAAACTGGTATCCCATATAACAACCAAGACCTATAATTCTGATTCTTTAGCCAGTAGATCGTTACAGATACCCGTTAAGAGTGCCGTAAATAGCTAACGAGTCTTGCTCTCTTTCGTTTCAACTCGATCGTGCTACCGAAGAAGAGAGTAGTGGCAGCAAGAAAGTTGCGACATTCCGTCAATGGTTTCATTTATCTTTCTCTTCTTATTTTCTCTTGCAACGTCGTCTTATATTGGTGGATTATGCGTTGTCGCCGAGCCTTCACAACCGAAAGAGTTTGTTTTAACTCTTGATCAATCCAACTTCACCCATACGATCAGCAAGCGTGATTTTGTTGTCGTTGAATTTTATGCACCTTGGTAAGTAACTCCGTTGTATATGTAATCAATTAGTTTTAAATCGGTGACAATATCACATCTGTCGTTCACGTCTAACGCTTCCCTATCACTACAACAAAATCGGGTTTATAAGACACTCTCAATTTCTAAGCGTCCTAACAGACCTCTTTATAAGACTTAGTTTAAAGGACCCAAAAAATAAAGCGTCCTATCTAAAGGCGTTGTAATAAGTTTATATGACGTTTTTTGATGTCGTAATAAGTTTTTTAGGACACTTTTAATATAAAGCGTCTCATTAACAACTTTATAGGACACTATTTGAAAAAAGTCCTATAAAAACAAATGTCCTATAAAAATTGAATTTATAGGACACTTTCTCAAAAGTGTCCTATAAAATTGCTAATGCGACACTTTGTATTAAAAATGTTCTAAAAAACTTGTTAAGACGTCCAAAAGCATCGTATAAACTTATTACAACATCTTTAGATATGACGCTTTATATTTTTGTCCTATAAACTAAGTCCTATAAAGCGGTTTATTGGGACACTTAAATATTGGAGGTGTCCTATAAACCCAATTTTGTTGTAGTGTAAGTTTATATGACGCTTTTTGACGTCCTAACAAGTTTTTTATGACACTCTTAATACAAAGCGTTATATTTGCAATTTTATAAAGTGTCCAATAAACTCATTTTTTTATAGGACACTTTTTCAAATAGTGTCCTATAAAGTTGCTAATGTGACACATTGTATTAAAAGTGTTGTAAAAAAACTTGTTAAAACATCCAAAAACGTCTTATAAAAACTTATTACAACACCTTTATATAAGACGTTTTATTTTTTGGTCATAAAATTAAGTCTTATAAATCAGTCTATTAAAATACTTAACAATTGATGACGTCCTATAAATTCAATTTTATTATAGTGTAAATAATTAATACGATACTTTGTTTTGAAAATGTTCTAAAAAGCTTGTGACATTGTCCAAAAGTTATTACAACAAAATTGGGATGTGGCAAAAAATGACCCAACCTGCTAACCCAATCCCGACCCCGACCCAACCCAACCCAAAATTAGCAGGTTGGGTTGAGATTTTCAACACATTTAAATAAATGGGTCAATCCGTCTAACCCATTTAAATAAATAGCTTGGGTTGGGTTGAATTTTTCGACCTGCTTTCAACCTGTTTACAACCTGTTTACAACCCGTTTTCAACCTGTTTCCAACACATTTAAAATATTATATAATTTTATTTTATTCTTAATATTATATCTAGTATTCTAATTTTTAATTTTGTTTTATTCTTAATTAAAAATCCTACCGTCATGAGATGAAAGTTCAAATTCCAATCGTTTACATTACTCTTAATCATCATGAAACCCTAAAAAAACCCTTTAGTCCATTACTCCATTATCGTCTCCAAACTTTGGGATTGGTGAAAGTGGAAGCCGAGTTACTTAGAATTTAGAATTTTCCAATTTATTTTGAACAATATATTTGTTGTGGTCGTGTTTTATTCAAACTTTAAATAATTTGTATGTATTTGTGGTTGTGTTGTGTTTTATTCAAAAAAATTAAATAGTCTAGTCTTTTTTTAATTTAAATTTTTTAAAATTAAATGGATCAACTCAGGTTCAACCCATTTATTTAACAGGTTGAGTTAAGAAAATTGTAAACAGGTCAACCCGCTGTCAACCCATTTAAATAACATGTTAGGTTGGGTTGAAAAATCTCAACCCATTTAATTAAATGAATTGGGTTGAGTTGAGATTTTCAACCTGTTTAATAAATGGATTAAACCCGAACCCAACCTCACCCATTGCAACCCCTTAATATAAATAAATATATATATATATATATATATATATATATATATATATATATATATGTGTGTGTGTGTGTGTGTGTTATTATGGCAAGGATTTATCTTCTCTGGTTAATTAACACATTCTCAAATCTCACCAGGTGTAGCCACTGCAAGAAACTTGCTCCAGAGGTAATCATAATCCACACCTTAATATTTTTTTTAAATATATAATATTCATATACGATGTATATTCATACACATTTCTCGTATTTAATGAGTTTTGAACCTTTACTACAACAAATTTAATTTTATAGGACGCTTAAAACCTACAAGTGTCCTAAAAAGATACATTATAGGACTTAAGTTTATAGGACCAAACAAAAAATAGCATATCTAAAAGTGTTACAATATGCTTATAAGACACTTTTAAGTGTTTTAACAGGTTTCTTAGAACGTTTTTAAAATAAAGTGTCATATTAACGATTGTATACGACACTATTTGAAAAAGTATCTTATAAACCTGTTAAAACGCTTAAAAGTGTCTTATATAACCCTGTTTTAACGCTATTAGATAAGATGTTTTGTAGTTTGATCATATGAACCTAAGTTCTAGAAAGTATTTTATTAAGACGCTTAGACAATCTAGGTGTCATATAAAGCCAATTTTGTTGTAATGCCTTGACCAATTGACAGGCTGCACTACAATAAAATTGGACTTATAGGATGTCATCAATTGCTAAACGTCCTAATACACTTTTTTTTACGAGACTTAGTTTATAAGACCAAAAACTTGAGTGTCTTATATAAAGACGTTGTAATAAGTTTATAAGACGCTTTTGGGTGTCCCAACAAGTTTTTTAGGACACTTTTAATATAAAGCGTCATATTAGCAATTTTATAGGACACTTTTGAGAAAGTGTCCTATAAACTCATCTTTTTACAGGACACTTGTTTTTATAGGACACTTTTTTCAAATAGTGTCCTATAAAATTGCTAGTGTGACGCATTGTATTAAAAGTGTCTTAAAAACTTGTTAAGATGCCCAAATTGCATCCTACAAACTTATTACAACGCCGGAACGTTCTACTTTTTGGTCCTATAAATAAAATCTTATAAAGCGGTCTATTAGAAAGTTTAGCAATTCGTGGCGTCCTGTAAACCTAATTTTACCTCGATATATATGCTTGATCCATATTGTTTCTTGGTTACATATATATGAACGGCTTTAGCGTATGACGACCGGTTTACTTAACGATTCTTCAGTTTGAGAAAGCGGCTGCTATATTGAGTAACAACGGCCCCCCGGTTACTTTGGCAACGGTTGATGCCAATGACGAAAAGAACAAAGATCTCGCGAGCGAATACGACATAAAGGGTTTCCCGACACTCAAAATCATTAAAAATGGAGGGAAAAGTGTTGAAGATTACAAAGGACCAAGGGATGCAGAAGGAATAGTTGCTTACTTGAAGAAACAAACTGGACCTGCTTCTGTTGAAATCAAATCTACAGAAGATGGTAATGGTCTTATTGATGGAGATAAGATTGTTATTGTAAGTCCTTAAATCTTGTATATTCTATATACATATGTGTTATATTAATACTACAACAAAATCAGGTTTATAGGACACTCTCAATTTCTAAGTGTCTTAATAGACCTCTTTATAGGACTTAGTTTATAGGACCAAAAAACTGAAGTGTCCTATATCTAAAGGAGTTGTAATAAGTTTATACGACGTTTTAATAAGTTTTTTAGGACACTTTTAATATAAAGCGTCTCATTAGCAACTTTATAGGATATTATTTGAAAAACTACCTTATAAAAACAAGTGTCTTATAAAAAATTGAGTTTATAGGACACTTTCTCAAAAGTGTCATATAAAGTTGCTAATGCGACACTTTGTATTAAAAATGTCCTAAAATTTTTGTTAAGACGTCAAAAAGCGTCATATAAACTTATTACAATACCTTTAGATATGACACTTTATATTTTGGTCATATAAAGAAGTCTATTGAAACGCTTAGAGATTGGAGGCGTCCTATAAACCCAATTTTGTTGTAGTGATAAGACGCCAAAAATGTTTGTCTTAATAGATAAATGGTTTTATAAAACTTAAATTTATAGGACCAAACAAACAATTGTGTACCGTATGTGAAAATGTTATTACGACTTTTTAAAACGCTTTAGGATGTCTTAACAAGTTTTTTAAGACAGTTTATATAGCATTATTTGAAATAATGTCTTGTAGAAACAAGTGACTTATAAAAACAAGTGTGTTCATAATATAACACACTTCTCCAAAGTGTCATATAAAAAAAACCTATTATGACACTTTACAGAAACATCTTATAAACTTATTATAACACTTTCACATAGGATGCACAATTGTTTGGTCCTGTAACCGTTAAGTCCTATAAAGTAGTTTATTATGACGCTTAAACATTCTTTTGGGTCGTTAAATCGGATTTTGTTGTGTTGTAGTTAATTTTTTGGGGAAAACTGCGTCTAACGTGTTTGTTCTCTTAGGTCGGAGTGTTCCCTGAATTGTCCGGAGAGAAGTTCAAGGCATTTTTAGCTTTAGCGGAAAATTTGCGTACCAATTATGAGTTTGCTCATACAACAGACGCAAAACTTTTACCACGAGGTGATTCTTCTATCTCTGGACCTGCTATCCGTTTATTCAAGCCGTTTGATGAGCTTGTAGTAGATTTTGAGGTACGTTTACATTCGACTATCTATAATAACTATAACAAAGTTGATTTTATAGAATATATATACAGAATGTCTATGCTTCCTAATAGAATACTTCACATACTGTTCAAAAGTGTTACAGTATATGTTTATAGGACGCTTTTGTTCGTTTTAACAAGTTCTCTGTAGTTTTTTCTCTCTCTAGCTTCTTGTTAATCTTTTAATACAATCCTCCTGCTTTTCAAAAAAATCATATATATTTTATTGCACATTTTTGAAAAATGATCTGTAAACCCATCTTTTTATAGATCACTTGTGTTTATAGAACATGTTTTCAAATATTGTCACATATAATAGTTAATATGACACATTATTTTAAAAGCGAAATATATAAATTGTTAAAATGCCTAAAAATATTCTATAAACATATTGTAATCCTTTTAGATATATAAGACCTTTTTTGCTTTGTTCTTATAAACGTAAGTCCTGTAAAGGCGTTGTTTGACAAAAATAAGCTAGCTTATTTTCTAGGTATAGGTTTGGATGCATATATTCTAGCTTATTGAAACGCTACATGGAGTAGCATTTTGGTAGCTTGTTGTCACTTTTTCCAATTATAATCCTCGCTAATATTAATTCTTATTTATTACTATCTTATAAATAAATAAATAAAATTATTTAATTAATTATTTACAATAATTATTAATCATACTAATTATTTTCATATTACTATTTTCTAATTATTATTATTTAATATATATTTAGTTATCAAAAAGCAAATATAACAATTTTAACAATGTTTATGTTACGTAAAAATAAAAGTTTTAGTTTGTTTCAGAGATAATAAAAATGTCTTAAATAATTTGAATAAAATATTTAATTTAATTATTAAGTATATTTTTTTAAATTATTAATTAATTAAGATATGTGAGGTAGACTATTTTTAATTTTATTCATATTATATATAATGATTATTTAAAATCATAAATAATAGATTTTTTCTAAAAACTTGTTTTAACAAATTCAAATATTATAATGTATATAATAATCGATTTGAAATTCCTTTAATTAATATATTATATGCTTTTTAATGTTTTTTACTATCTTGTTTTTATTAGTTAATATATTATATTATTACAAATTTGTTTTAATTATATTTTGAAACATTATAATCGATTAATTTTTCAAGACGTCATTTTTGGTCATTTTACATTCCTATCAGTTAGTTTTTGTCAAACAATATTTGTTGATCCACTACAACAAAATTGGGTCTATAGAACACTTCCAATTTCTAAGCATCCTAATAGACCTCTTTATAAGACTTGGTTTATAGGACAAAAAAATAAAACGTCCTATCTAATTGTGTTGTAATAAGTTTATATGATGTTTTTTGACGTCGTAATAAGTTTTTTAGGACATTTTTAATATAAATCGTCCTATTAACAACTTTATTTGACATTATTTGAAAAACTGTCCTATAAAAACAAATGTCCTATAAAAAATTGAGTTCATAGGACACTTTCTAAAAAATGTCCTATAAAGTTGCTAATGCGACAGACTTTGTATTAAAAATGTCCTAAAAAACTTGTTAAAACGCCCAAAAGCGTCATATAAACTTATTACAACATCTTTAGATAGAACGCTTTATATTTTGCTTCTATAAATTAAGTTATATAAAATGGTCTATTGAGACGCTTAGAGATTGGGGGTGTCCTATAAACCCAATTTTGTTATAGTGTAGCTTATTTGCTATCAGTTAGTTTGTCAAAAATAACCAAAAATTTCATTAAAACGATTAGACATTTCAAACATTCTATAAAATCAATTTTGTTAGTGATGATTTTTTAGTAGAAATTTGATGGAGTTTGTTTCAAGTGAAATGTTTGTTTGCAGGATTTTAAGTTGGATGCATTAGAGAAATTTGTTGAGGAAGCAACCACTCCTACGGTAACTGTATTTGATAATGATCCAAAGAATCACCCATTTGTCGTCAAATTCTTTAGCACTCCCAATGCAAAGGTGAAATTTATACCTTTTCTTCTTATTAACTTGGATATCCAACCCGTTATGTGAGCTGTGGGTAGCTCATAGTCATCGCATTTGAATCTCCGTTGTCACAAAAGAATTTTTATTCCTCCATGCACTTTTGACCTTTGGAGCTCAAACTCAAACCAATCAGGCATCACCCTAGTGGTTTTGATTTATACTGAATATTAAACTAGATAGATACTATTAGGAAAGAGAACGGCACGTCGAGGAAAATTTTATTTGAAAAACAACTTTTGTAATTTGTTTTAAGATTTCAGCTACTGATTCTTAATTGTTTTTGAATTTTCAAAATCTTGGTATACATGTATGTATATATATATATATATATATATATACACTACAACAAAAATGGGTTTATAGGACGTCCCCAATCTCTAAACGTCTCAATAGACCACTTTATAAGATCGAAATATAAAGCGACATATCTAAAGGCGTTGTAATAAGTTTATGTGACGCTTTTGGACGTCTTAACAAGTTTTTTAGAACATTTKTAATACAAAGTGTCGCATTAGCAACTTTATAGGACACTTTTGAGAAAGTATCCTATAAACTCAATTTTTTATAGGACAGTTTTTCAAATAGTGTCTTATAAAGTTGCTAATGGGACGATTTATATTAAAAGTGTCTTAAAAAACTTATTACAACGCCTTTAGATATGATGCTTTATTTTTTTTTTGGTCCTATAAAGAGGTCTATTAAGATGCTTAGAAATTGGGAGTGTCCTATAAACCCGATTTTGTTGTAGTAACCCGTATCCCGGTATGTGTAAACAAAACTAACGTAGGTATGTAGAAGTCATCTGATCCAATTCAGGTTTGTGTTAATGAAGTTGATGTTATGGAAATTGTAGGCAATGCTGTTTGTGAACTTCAGTAGCAAGCCATTTGGTGATTTTGAAGCTACATATCATGAAATTGCTAATGAGCACAAGGGAAAGGGGATCAGTTTTCTGATGGGAGATGTGGAGGCCAGTCAAGGTGCTTTCCAGGTTAGTAAACATGATTAATTAATTAATTAATAATTATATTAATTAAACATGATTTATAGTAATTAATTAAATGTTGAACAGTTTTTTGGACTGAAAGAAGATCATGTTCCTGTGATGGTTATAAACCACCAGAAACACAAGTATGTGAAACCCAACGTAGAACCTCACCACCTTCACTTTTGGATGAAGCAATACAAGGTCATTCTTTTCACCCACTTTATTATTTCTTCTTCTCTATATTTATATTTATATTTATATATATAGACTTAGGATCATGTGAGATCAAAGGTTTATTTTATTTAGAAAACAAATATTTTTTTTAATAATTTCTCGGTAGAACAATCTGCTGGTAAAATGTTCAACACGAGAAAAAGATGTTTTTGTAATTTAATATCGTGTAAATATGAAGAAAAAAACTGCCTAAAATGATGTTAAATATTGTACGTTAATATACAATTGTCAGGGCAAAAATGGAAGACAGATGTTCCAAACAAAAATTAAAATATTTCAATACACAAGCATTGTTGAAATTGTTCCAAAACAAACATAGATACTCAGAACAGTTCTGGTGGCGGTTGCAGCGGAAACTGCTGAGATTGACTGAGTTGTCTGACCAAAGCAGTCATCTCGTCATATTGTTTCTACTGTCTCTCATCTTCCTCCCGTATCTCGTCAAAATGTTTCTGTCGTCTCTCATCTTCCTCCCACCGGCACTGGTTTTCTTCCACTAAATCTGTAACTTGGATCCTAAAGGGGTCAGTTTCCTATATAATAAAGATGATGTTAGAATATTTAATGTGAATTATAAATGAAATAGATAAATATCATCAAATTGGGAAATTGGTTGTACCCAAACCCAAATAGACGGTCTTTCTTGCTCCTCCAATGCTTGCTACCATAACTCTGTATCAACTAAAGGATTGGTGGAGGGATCATCGCCATACTTTTGAGTGAGACTTGTTGAATAGTCACTCCGTGGTTTTAAAAAAGTAATACCAGTCAATTTCGACAACATAACATTGTAAATGGGACGTTTCCAACCAAAACAATCTTAATGTTTGCCCAACAAATGGCAACCAAAACCAGGTATACACACACACACACTAAGATTTTAATTTAAATGATCTGAACATTTGTCCAACAATTAATGACAACCTAAACTAGATAGGTAGTTATCTAATTATAAAGTTTAAGTTAAACGCAAACCATATCTATATTCTAAAGATTTACTTACCACAACCTGGCTACACTTAGAACTCACGTACTCTCCGGAATTCGAAGATGCGGCCTCTCCACTCGACCTCTTTTTATGCTTATAATCGAACAGTTCAACAGTAGTCGACGGCACGAATTTTTTTGCTTGCTTCTACAAAGGTCAAATAATAAGAACATGTGTTAATTACAACATATTAAAAGTTAAGCTACTAAAGTAATAAGTTTTTAGTACCTACTAGGAGAGCATCATGCTCTAAAAATGGGATCGATCCACCAGTTTGTAGCGCATTTTGGTCATCACGGTTCCCACATGCCACCATGGAAACAACCTTCCAATGATCATTGCTCCAGTGATCGATCATCTGTCTCCACAAATTTGGAGAGGCCCATTCAGGGTGGAAGTTCTTCAACATACTCACATCCTGGTTAGGTCGTTTTCATTGTAGGAATACCCAATCTGGTTGGCTTTCTCTCCAGCTTTCTTCCTCATAACACTCAAATTGTCATTATAGGGTTTTGTCGTCTTTCCCTCCCATGTCTCAAGAATTTGGGAGTTTAAATCCAGATCCCAAGTGTAATAGGTCTGTACGTAGAAGTTTTGTTGATTCTTATGTTCAAAACAAAACTACTAAAAATATAACAAGTTAAATATATACTACGAACCTGGAACCGCTCCCACATTTGGCGCCTCACGTCCTTAGGGATTTGGAACCATGTGCGTCAGGGCCCGTCAATCATGGCTCGATTGATTTTCGTGATGGTCAAATGATGCGGCTGTTATCAAAGCTATATAATGAATTGAATTAGTATTGATACAAAGAATAATTAATTATATCAACTAAAACATAGAAATGTATTTAGTCTCTATTATAGATACCAATAACCTTCTTGTGCTCTAGGAGCCGCTCCAGAGCAGCGCTGCCACGAACATTAGAATCTAGCCCCTCCGTCTGTGCCAAAACACTTCTAGAGGCTCCTCCTTTAGCGCAAGTTGGAGCAGTACTGTCCACTACCTCATATGAAAATCCGAGTACACATTATTTTTGATTTATCTATAGAGCAACATTAGAAAACATACAATAATAATTCAAGTACACAACACAATGTTCGATTTCACACAATAATATTGTCAAATACAAACATTTTCTAGACAAGTTCATAAAGGTGACACATAAATAAGTAAAAACGAAACAATAAAGATTTAAAACAACTAGACAAAGTTTATTAAGAATAAAATTGACATAGTATTTAATCATCTGAGCATGATCTAAGTCTTAAAATCCCTTTCTTCGTTACTACTCTTGTCAACATGCCAGTTGTTGCGACGATCATTGGCAACTTCGATGTCTTCTCCTGTGACAAGATGGATGGGTTCTTCCACATCTATAGGTGTTATTTTATCATTTTCTTTGAAAAACTATTCCCCATCCATATTTTCATTAGACGATACTTCAAGTGTATCCATTGCTAAGTCATAGATCCTCTTGGCTTTGTCTTCATCACAGACCACCAATCTTTTAATGACTTAGATGGATATGGTATATAATGGAATTGTTCAACTTGTGATGCTAGAATAAATGGATCGTCTAAACGAAGTCTTGATTTGTATTTGACGTTCACAAGATTATGTTTTAGGTCAACTCGGACGTCGTTAATTGTATCAAACCATGTGCTTCTGAATATTAGGACAAGCAAAGGCCAAGTTCATACCCATCATATTCTATCTCTAAGACTTCATCCAACAATCCATAGTAGTTAGACTCATAATCTGAGTAACAAGAACCTCTCACGCATACTCCACTATTATGTGTGGTGTGATTTTTACTGTGAGTTAACGTGTGGAACTTGTAACCATTTACAAATAACCTCAGGTGTCTCCAAACCATACATATTGATTTATGTGCCAAAACTCTGACATGATCTGAAGCAGGGTCTGACCGAGACATAACCTATAATGAAAATTAAACATGTCATTTGTAATATTTTATTAAGTACATATAAAGAATGATGAATAAAATTACATATGTATACACTTATGTGGATCTCAAACCAACCAGCAAAGTGATCACCTCTACGTTTGTCGAGCATCGCTTCATCAATATATGACTCTCTTCTTTTAATCTCCATATTGAACTTGTGTATGAACGGAAAGACTTCTTCACAATTAAGTAAAATGTATTTGTGATCCTTATGCATATGTTTATCTGGTAGATTAACATATGTTTCGGCTTTATCAATAATTTTGACATAAAGTTTTAAATATATGTAACGATTGGTCCGAAGATGAACAATTTAGGGAAAAATTCCAAGGCTCATGGTTTATCCGTGTCTCTACCGTTGGTTCAAAATACAATGAGCGGTAGGTAGATAGTTCATTAACCAAACATGCCTCCACAATCAACTCTTCTACCCTTGCTCAGTTTCTCACTGTCCTTTTCAACGACCCTATACATCTCTTGTAGAGATACACCCATCGATACTGAAACAGGCCCCCACATATTGCTTCACATACCAGATGTACCACAGGTGTTCCATGGAATCAAAGAACCTCGGTGGGAAGAGTCTTTCCAACTTGTCGATAGTTTCAACTATACCTGTTTGCAATTGAAGCAAGTCTTCAACATGTAACACCTTCGATCATATTACACGAAATAATGTGCACAACTCACTTATAACATTTCACATCGAATTCGGTATCATCCATTTAATGGAAATAGGGAGCAGTCTTTGCATGAAGACTTGCCAATCATGACTTTTGAAGCCATAGAAACTACTAACTTCAACGTTTATTAATGCCCTTATGTTAGAAGCATAGTCTTCTGGAAATTCCAGCTTCTTCAACCATTCACACACCTTTCCCACTTGCTCTTTGTTCAATGTGTAGGAAGCTTTCGGTTTAAAGATTTTATTATGTTCCCCCTTATATGCAACTCCAGTTGATTGCAATATTCTTCTACGTTGTCCTTTGATTTGGGGGTGTCCGTGATGGTGTGAAAGAGATTGTCAAACACATTCTTTTCAATATGTATTACATCTAGGTTGTGCTAGATCAACAAAATGTGCCAATATGACAGCTCCTAGAAAATGCTCTTATTTACCCAATTGTGTGTTACCCCAAAACCCACAGACTTTCTTTATTTCCTTGATCCATGTGGGAATCCTTCATAAAACCGTAGCAAACTTATAGACTTATGCCCATATTTTCTACTCGGTTAGCAACGAGGGTGGATCAGCTTTTTTGACATGTAACACAATATTTCCTATCACGCCTAAACGAGTGTCTCAGTGGCAGAAACTTGCGATGACAGTCAAACCAACACAACTTCTCTCCGCTTCATAGTTGGAACGCACATTCGTTACCCATGCAATATGGACAAGCAAACTTGCCATGCATGCTCTACCCAGAAAACTTGGCATAAACAAGAATTCACTAACCATCCATAACAGTATGACCCTCATTGTGAAACTCTATCTATGATAAGCATCATAGATAACGACACCCTCCAAGAATAACGTCTTCAACTCGTTGATCAAGGACCGAAGAAATACATCCAAATTCTTTTTGGGCTCTTCTTGCCAGGAATCAGCAAAGCCAGGTGAACATTCAGTCTTTAATGCACATCCAAGGTGGTAGATTGTAATTTGTAAGAAAAGTTGGCATAAGCCCAGACGAACATTCCCGATCTCTTAAGCAAAATCAAGATGCATCTGGTCAAAATGTTTCCAAACCTCCCCCCTTGGATGTACCATCTTTCATGAATAAGTCTGATAATGATAGTTCCAAGTCACCTCCTTTGCTATTTTCTTACACAAATACCATTGTTGTAATCTTGGTGTAACCGACAAATATGTCAACACTAAATTAGGCACCATTTTGTTTCAACCAGTTGCATTGTAACGAGGCTCCCCACATACTTGACAACTATTGTCATCAACATATTCCTTATAAAATAGCATGCAATGGTTTTTGCAATCATGGATCTTTTCTTTCAAAGACCAAGTTGCTTCAACATGTTCTTTGTCTCATACAAACTACCAACCAGCTGGTCAACGTCAGGAGAATTTCTTTTACCATAGAAAGATTACAATTGTATGTTGTCTTTGGTACATTGCAATCTACATTCCAATTCAAAAACCTCGTCACTACCTATAACTTTGATAATCTTTGGCATCCCTCCCACAACTTTTGGTCTGCATCTTGTAACATATCATAGAAACATCGTGTGTTGATTTGGTTCATGCTCGTTCCATGTACTTGATGTACCGAGAACATTTTGGTCCATCACCATTTGTTCAACACCATCAAACTCATTATAATCTTCATCCACTGTTTGTTTGTTGTGTTTGTTGAAGTTTTGTTTCTATTTCATTGTGTGCATACCAATGACTATAAGAAATCATGAATCCCTTTCTTAACAAGTCTAAGAAAATATCCTCTCTCTTTTTATACTTTTGAAGTTGGCATTTCTTACAAGAACATCTTGCCACAAATTGATCATTAAAGAAAGAAAAATCCAAAAATCCAACTATTTCGACATGGAAAACTTGATTTATAGTCCCGTTTCTAACACGAAATAGATCTAACTTTACCAAACAATTTGTCAACATATACAATCCTTACATACATACATATATAATATAGTTTTTCCAAGAATATGTCAATATATATACAAAAGCATACATTTATATAACTTTACCCAACAATTACATATATAAAAATTTACCAAACAATTTATCAACATATACAATCCTTACATTTACAAATCCAACAATTTACCCAACAACTTACCGAACATCTATAAATCAAACTTACACACACACACATTTACATACATAATCCCACCCCTTCCCAACAATTCTCCAATAAATTGCATATGAGGTATATACATTTACACTTACATGTATATATACATGTATTTACATACTTATATGTTCATGATATATATGCATATATTTTATCTGCACATAAACATAAGAGAAAAAAAAATGAAAAAAGGGTTTCATGCCAAAAAAGGGTAAATCGCCGGTTGGGAGTGAGAAAATCAAAGGATGGTGGTGAGGGACGGCAACGCCGGTGAAGGGATCAAGGTGAGGGACGGTGGTGAGGGATAGTGATGAGGGATGAGTTCTACTTCGTGCGAGGGTGAGAAATAGGGCTTCAGCTTCCGTTTTGTTTTTGTGAGGTGAAACTAGTCTTGTTTTGACCTAAGTCATAAAAGAAATTGTTTCATTTTCGACGGATTATTGGTGGAAAATATCCGCCGGTAATTTAAATTTTTCCTAAAGTTTCTAGAAACCGCCTAACTTTGGAATAAATTAAAATTTCAGCTTTCCAACGGAATATTCGGCCAGTAATCCTTAGGGTTGATTATTATTATTATTATTATTATCACTATTATTAGTATTATTATTAAAGTCCAATAAGGCCCATTAAAGTCCAATAAGACCAAATAAAGCTTAAGACTAAATAAAACTCATTAAGAACAAATAAATGGCATAGAATCCAATAGATCCATTTAAGCTCGATACATCCATTGAAACGTAATAAGAACCATAATGCCCAATAGATCCATTAAAGCCCAGTAAGAATCATAAAAACCCAACTATCATCCATTAAACCTAGTAAGAGCAAATAAAACCCAATAGATCCATTAAAGCCTAATAAGAACCAGCCTAATAAGAACCAGCCTAATAAGACCAAATAAAGCCCAATAGATCCATTAATGCTCAACTAAGATCCATTAAAACCTAATAAGACTAAATAAAGCTCAATTAAAACCATTAAATCCTGACTAAGATCCATTAAAGGCCAATGACATCCATTAAACCTCACCAAGACCAAATAAAGCCCAATAAGACCAAATAAACCCAATAGATCCATTAAAACCCAATAAAAACTATTATAGCCCAATTAAGATCCCTTAAAACCGCATAACATCCATTAAAGCTCAATCATATCAAATAAAGCCCAATAGATTCATTAAAACCCAATAAGACTAAATAAAGTCCAATATATCCTTTTATGATCATTAGTGACCTAATAATGTTTGTGTGAAGACATGTATGTACTGCATATACATACATATATATATATATATATATATATATATATATGTGTGTGTGTGTGTGTGTGGTGTGTATTGGTCTCAACTAAGATCCATTAAGCCCAATAACACCTTTCTATGACTTATTAAAGACCAATAATATCAATGACACCGAAGTACGTGTTTGTATGTAGATGCATATATGTATGCGTGTGTGTATTGGAATCAATAAGAGAATAATGATCCATTATACGTGCTATATGGTTTGCTTATAAATATATTACATATATATATAACTTAAACCATGAAAAAGGAGAGAAAAACACCAAATAAGACATTTTTTTTAAAAAAATCCGCTACAAATCCGCCAAAAACATTTTCTTTTTAATCTTGAAAATTTTAAAGATAATAGGATTACTGGAATATTACAATCATATTTTCGTTAATATTTTTAAAATTAAAAAATAGGTTTTTTATATTTAGCGGTGGATGATGGTGGCCACCGTTAATATTTCGTAAAAATATGTGTCTTAAAATGTTGTTTAAAGTAAATAAAAAAATGAATTTTTATGTTTTCTGGTGGATTACTTGGGACACCACCATCCGCCGGTAAAAAAAACCTCGATTTTCCATTTTCTCCCGTTGCCCTCGGTAATCCGCCAGAAAAATGGAAAATCATATTTTTTAAAGAAATTTTATAGAAAAAAATTAATTAGCTTTAATTATATAAAATTACTCACGATTTTTAATTAAAAAAATTAACTGAAATCTACACATAATTTTATATAACTAAAGTTAATTAATTTTTAAAATTTTATCTTTTTATTTCCGCCGGAAAACTGGCCGAAATAATTAAAAAAAAATATTTAGTGGTGGATTACCGGTGGAAGTCAACAAGAAGTTGATTTTTTTAATGACAATTAGTAATCCGCCGGTAATTTTCCGCCGAAAAGTCATTTTTCTAGTAATGTTAGTTGTGGGTCATTTCTTTATTTACCATTTTGTGTGGATGATTTGTCTACTTGAATGCAGGATGGAAAAGTTGCACCATATGTGAAATCTGAACCTGTACCCGAGCCAAATAACCAACCAGTTAAGGTGGTTGTTGCTGACAATTTCCATGACATCGTTTTCAAGTCGGGAAAAAACGGTATGCATGCAAAGCATTAGTACATTCACTATTGTTGCATCAACATGCACTATATATGTACAACACTTGAACATTTAAAAAACTTACAGTTCTGTTGGAGTTCTATGCTCCTTGGTGTGGACACTGCAAAAAGTTGGCTCCAATTTTGAATAAAGTTGCTTCTGCATTTGCAAATGATGCTGATGTTGTCATTGCTAAGATTGTAAGATCTTCTAATTCTATTGCATTTGTATATAACTGGTATCAGTTCATGGGATTCAGACATAACTTAATAGGATAAGATATAAGCAAACTTGGATCAAAGAGTTGAGCAACTGCCTCTGTGCTGGCTTAATTACTTTACTGCCATTTGTTTCTACAAATACCTTAAATTATGTTGTGTTTATGTGAAGCTCATTTAGGTATTCATTTACTTGGTATATATAGGATGCTACTGCAAATGATATTGTACATGAAGGCTTTGACATTAAGGGTTACCCTACATTGTACTTGAAGACAGCAAGTGGAAACTTGTTGCCATATGATGGAAAGAGAACCAAGGAAAAGATTATAGATTTCATTAAGAAGAATAAGGATAAAACAGTCCATCATGATTCCAGAAAGGAGGAACTGTAATTCAGGTACTTATGAATCTTCTGATTTCTACTTTTTCAAGTTCGTGTCAAGGTTGTCGTTAACTCTTCAAAATTCCATTTCGTGTTTCTTAGACACACATTTATTGTCTTTTCTTCATCCCTCTAGATGAGATCCGTAGACAGTTACACATGTCAAACGCCAACTACAGTTTCAAAGGGGCGTTGCTTTCGGTTGGTCATCTTCCCAAGATCGTATATGATATCGCACAACTCAAATAAGGTAATAGGTTACATAGTTTTGGGTATAGACGTAGTAGCTCGTGATTTTGCCACTTTACTCTAGTGGTAGATAACACAAGTGCTTGCATTCCATCCTTAACCCTACCTCGAAGTGGGATATGTTGAATTCCTTGGTTTTCTATAGATCTCTGATAAAATATATAGAATTTTTATTGTTGAGCTAAATTATCATAAAAGCGTAACATTCTTTTCCTTTATATTCGATTACAATCCTTGCTACCACCACATCGTCTTGTATGATGAACCAACTAATCAAAGTAATGAGCATTCTGCTTTGTGCAACGTACTTTAAAGTTTAATCAGTGGGATAGAAGGACCAGTTCGTGTTGGTATCTTAAAATGCACAACAAGGTTTAAATTTATAAACGTAACTTTTATCAGTAAAGATGGTAAGTTGGGTAAGGGAGTCGGTGGTTGAACTATTAAGAGGTAAACAAACAACCCCTAAATTAACACATAAAGTATTGTTTCTGGTACGGTGGGGATGCCAATGGACTATCTCTGATTGCCAATCAATTCATACATGTAAGCATTCAAACACATATGTGAAAATTTAGGATATTAAATCAATAAGAAACCAAGCAATATCTGTCAAAACAAAACCATAAAATCAAATGAAATCGAGTTATATCTGTGGTTTCACTTTTGGGACGACCTTGAAATCACTTTTAGCTTTGCGTCTTCATTGAAATCACCATTCTTGAATCAAATGAAATCAAGTTATAAACTCAATTTTGTTGTAATGATTCTTGAGTAAGAATTTAAGGTATATCATTAAGATAATTGCATAACTTGACAGAAAAACTCTAAGAATGATCAGTTTTTGCTGTATGAATTTTCTTTTAAGTCGGTATTAAAAATATAAAAAAGAAAATTTAATGTTAATGTTATGATTTTTTTTTTCATCAAAAACTATGATTTAAGATATTATTTCACATATATTTGTGTTCATCTTATGAAAAAATTACATGTGAAACTTTTTTTTGTTTCACTTGGTGAAACTAAAAATTTACATAAAAAATATTCATGTGATGAAACAAATACATATGAAACTATCACATTATGAAACAAATACAAGTGAAACTATTACATTATGAAACAAATACATATGAAACTATCACATTATCAAACAAATATATATGAACTAATATATTAAATCCAGCATTTGATGAAAAAAGATCATGTAAAAAATTATTTTAAAATCGGTTATCATGGGTTGATAACATTTTTGTGGTTCTCGTTTCATTTGCCCATATATATATATATATATGTATGTGTGTGTGTGTACTTGTGCAATGCAACGAGATACATCTTGATTTTAATATTTCGTTTTATTCTTTATCTCGGTTGATGTTATAATATGGTCTTATGTGATTTTAAAAACGCGATAATGTTCTTATTTTTGAATAAAATATAAATTTGAAAATATCATAAGAATTTGACAAAAATATATTGATATTAATATCAAATTAATTATTTAAAATTCCTTATTTTTTGTATAATTTTTTAATTCAACCTTTTTATTATAATTTAATTTAGGTTCAATAACGAAATAATTTATATTTGATTTAATAATATAATTTTTTATAAATATAATAATTAATTATTTTGTTAGAACTTAATAATTATCCTAATTATATTTTAGATTTTTTATATTTTAAAATGAGATGTTTATCCTATATTTGGTTATGTTTACCCGCAGTTAGTTACACGAATTCAAGCATGGAGCTTTAATAAGTTGTACTTACGCACAATTTACTTATAATTTTGAATTTTAAGTAATATGTATCAATAAACAGTACTTTTATGCATAAAAACTGGTTTTTAAGAGTTTTTATCAAATAATTTATACATATATATGTGTGTGTGTATATATATATATATGTGTGTGTGTGTGTGTGTATATATATATGGGCTAAACAAATGAGAACTGTGTTGTTTGTAGTAACCGTGAAATCCAATCTCAGCCACAAATCAAAGATTAAATTAGGAAATTAATAATTTTGGTAATTTTAACTTAAAATATTAATTAAGAGCATTTTAGGGATTTTATAAATATCCTATTTCCTCTCTCCGGCGAACCTTATTCCGATGAACCTTATGTGAACACAAGATACTCACTGTGATACTTAGATATACATACAAGATGCACAATGTGATATCCTTTGTAAAGCAATGAAAATAACAAAAATGCACACTATGATACATTTCATAAAAACAAAGAAAATACATTGTGATACACGTGAAACATTGTGAACGTTATCATTATGATACACTTTGATTCACAAACGTCTTTAAAATACGATATATATTAGGTAATTGATATATACTAGGTAACTAAATTTAATTAAACATTTCCTTCTAAAAATTTAATCAAATATTTTGATTAGTTGTCAAAAATAGAATTACTATATTAACTTTTTAGCTTATTTAAAAATATCCTTAAACATCTTAAACGAGTGGTTCACATTGATCTCACGATTACCACAAACTAATCAGTTCTCCCTTAAATGGATCCTTATATATATATATATATATATTTGTTTGTTTGTGTCGGTTGATTTCTTTGTTGAGATAACTATTAAAGATTTCATCAATTAATTGTACCCAGCAAGTTGAATGCGATGAACAAACCTTGGAAGAAAAGAAATTGACTAAAAAAACTAAATCCCAACCATAACTATCTATAAAAACAAACGTATTTTTCTCATAGTTTTTATTTTTGTAGATAATTAAAGAAACAAACAATCGAATGGTTATTTTAGAGGGTGTTTAGGATTGTTTATTTGAAATAACTTATGTTTTTCTACAAAAGCACTTATCAACTTCTTATAAGTCAGAAGGGTTTAACTACTTCAAAAACTCCTTATTACCGTTTTGGCATCGGTATAAATTATTTGCCAAACACTCAAAAAATGCTTATTACTGGTGACACACCAGAATAAGTCAACAAGTTGTTTCGATAGGTTAGGATTAGACAATCACACATTTATCACAACGATTACGGCGAAATCCACTAAACGATTTGGTGTAATATGGTGTGATAATCATGTGATATCACTATTATAACATCACTTGCGCACTCAATTTGATCATGGTTTAGATCGATTAGGGTTAGACAATCACACATTTATTATAACGATTACTCATGGTTTCGATAGATTATGGTTACACTTGATTGATCATGATTTCAATATGTTATGGTTACACAATCACTCAATTATCACAAGAGAAAAGAAGAGAGTGGAAACGAACGTACAGGAAAAAAAAAAAAGGATAATTATAATTAATTAAATAAAATAAAAATTATAAAAATTAATTAATTACATTACTGCCCTTATTAATTTATTTATATTTAATATAAGTTAATTTATTAATTAAAAAAGTTTGAGATTATTGGATTGTTCTCGCGTTCTTGTAAATCACAAAAATTCTCGTTTGAACCTCCACCTATATATATAGGGTATATTTCAAATGCAATTAAGTATATATATATATATATATATATATAGAGGAGTGATCATATGAAAACCGCCCTCATTTACGTAAACCGTGCAAACCACCTTCATCTGTCGATTTCATTGTTTAATCTTATGAAATTTTTTCATGAAATTGTTTAATCTTGTGAAATTGTTTCATATAATACTTTTTTTGATGAAGTTGTTTCATATATGGTTGTGAAATTGTTTCATATAATACTTAATGAAACTGTTTCATGTATTTCTCTAACATTAATGAAACAGTTTCATGTATTTCTCTAAAATTAAAATAATGAACATGATAATATCTATGATTAACACCCTCCACAATAAAAATGATTAATCAACCTCTCATAATTACAAAAAAATGAACAAAATGAAAAATTATGATTGGTTGAATGCGGTTTGCACGGTTTGTACAAATTGAGTGGTTTGCATTTGATCGCTCCCCTATATATATATATATCAACCAAAATAACAAATTGTAATATAAGCTTCAAAGATTTCACACTTAGGAAAGAAGAGAGAATGGTGTGGAAGCAAATGGATAGTAGCAACTAAAAACAGACAGAAAAAAGGCATAAAGACAGTATGTCTGTTGTCCAATAAAGGTTGGGTTCCTGTGAGAACAAAGAGTTAAAAGGTGGGAAGCATAAGAAGCGATCTCCACCCTTGGATGTACATTAAGATGAGATGCACTTAGTTCAATCAACGTGTCAAACACAATTCATGGGTGGGTTTGAGATTAAAGGTGATCAAGGGTCCTGCTTCGTTCTTACGCTTCTCTTCGCCTGCCCAATGAATGGTTGCCACATGCAAGATCGAAAATTCAGAAGAAAAGAAAAAGGCAGGTTCGTTACCATCATATTATGGACTCGGTCCATAACCGATTTCTTAAAAATCCCCATAACCGGTTGGTACAAACCGCTCCACAATCATACATAACCTGTTACAACCGAAGCTGGCCCTAAGATTGCCCACCTCTAGAATGAATATCAAAAAACAACGATCAATTTACAATTACATGTACCAAAATTATACCTTTTCTAGTTTCTGGTACGTGGACTTTAACATACGAAAGCCACGTTATCGTTGATGGTCTTTTTCTAAGACTTGGAGGTGCAAAAGAAAACGTAAAAACGGAAAGGGGGTACCATGAAACTATTCCTTTCTGAATAGGTAGATTCATCTAATCCAACAGATCTTGGCACCCAAAAATGTCAATCCTGCAAGAGTTCCAAATAGAAACAGCTTGGCCTTTTGTTCTTAAATCTTCAAGTAGAAGGGAGCAGTTACATAAATGACCTTCTGTCAAGTTCTTTTTGAATCAATCATCTTTCGATAGGTTTGAGAATATCACTGCTTAATAGATCAATCGCCCTTCTATACAAAGAAATGCTAGAAACTTGTCAGAAAGTCGTGGATTTGAAAAACACTTGGCAGAAAGTCATTTAGCTGAATAACCGCAGGCCTAGGTGCTGGTAGAAAGAGAGTGTATGGTTGACAAGTGACTCGTTATTGTTCGGGATTCCGTCATTTGAGTCTAACCAAAAGGATGAGATGGACATTCCGTTTAAATATGGATCTCAGCTCTTCGTTGGCTTCAACACCTATTCTCCTGGAAAACATTACATCTTATGAGATTTGATAATCTGCTGAAGTCATGCACAGTTTATTATATGATAAAACAAAACAAATTTTCACGTATCATAGCTAAAAGAACGAAATTAGAGCAGCAACACAAAATGGCATGTTCCTCCATATAATGACCAGAGAAAAAAAAAGCGATACAGACATCAGTTGCAAATACAAGATCAAATGTTTCTATTTTCAGACGAACCATCTCAAGTCATATATGTCCTGTCCGGTGTACCAAATGCTCCCTCAAGTGTTGTCGTCTACAACTCCTACCGTTTGTCCTAATTTCTTTTTTCATGCTTCTACCAACTGTGAATATCAAGGAAACTACTCTTTTCCATTTTTTGGTGGATTATAATAAGGTAATTGGTGTTTTGTATCGCATGTAAGTTATACTAAATACAAATGGTAATAGATTTTATAAACATATGGTATTGATATTTGTTTTAGGAATGTTAAGCATCCACCGGTCCGTTTTACATAAGGATGTGGCCACGTAAACAAAGTAAGGAGGGGACTACAAAAATAAGAATAATAATCACCTGCCACTAGAAAAGCTGTTAGCGGAGCGTAGATGAACAATTTATTCGATGTTCTCGATTTATTATCAAACAATCGATATATTGGGCGACATTTAGTTTTTGCACAGGACAGGAATAGCTATAAATAGAAGAGGGAGGAGAGTTTTTATGCAGAAAATTACCATGTTTTTTGTGGGAGAGTCTAGCCTCTTGAATTATTAGTTCTTTTTCTTGATGGGTAATCAAAGCTTTCAGCATATCCTTGTTTCCACCATTTTAATTTCTTAGTTCATAACAAAGTGGTATCAAAGTCCTACCATCCTGAACGGACATGGCCCCTAATTCAGTGCCCAAAGCGTGGAATCAGTTGAATATGGATCTGCACTGGACTACCTTGGACGACTTGCAACAATCCCTCCTACAGTAGTTCAATGAGCAGCTAGCCCTAATAACGGAACGATTTTCAGAGACGGCAGCAGAAAACCTGCAACTCCGTTCTCCATTTGCGAGGAAGTTCGAGCGAATTATCTGAACCAAATTACTTCTTTGCAATGGGTAGTCCCTCCCTCCAATTTAGGGAACGGATGGGGGGGCAATAATCCTGGTCTATGCTATGTTGTTACAGCGGTCAAAATCTGAATAGTGGTCAAGACCATGATTTGATATAGCGGTGGTATAGCGGTCCATATATAGTGGTTCATGTAATAATAACAATTATATATAAACGTATGAATGTAGAGATAACATAATATATATTTTGAAGATGAAGAACACATGAATAGAAGAGATGACGAGCAATCTATGTTGGAAAACAATGTTGTTGTGAAGAGAAGACGTGGAATCATAGACTTGAAGGGAAGAGATTAGGGAGGAATATCGAGTTTTTGCACGAACATTGCAAATCAAAATCCGCTCCCTAGCTCGTAATCCCCTAACCGACTTCTCTGAACCCTTTAAAAGGCCAACTAAAAGCCCAACTCCTAATTGCGATTTTCACACCGCTATTGCAAATCAAAATTGTAGCCTAATTGCGGTGATTAGCACCGCTATTTGCGGAACCGCCATAAGGTTCGCAAGACAATTCTACACCATTCAAAGCATTCATGAGAACCGGCATCATCTCCAAGTGCTATTTGTTTCTGAACAATGGAGGAAGAGTGACTTTGCCAAGAAAGCCATCTGAAAAAGAATTGAAAGAATAATAGCTAAGCAAGAGTTTTGGGACAATATTTATCTTGCTTGTCAAGTATTGGCACCGTTGGTTGATGTTGTTCGGTTGGTTGATATCGAGGAGAAGCCGTGTATAGGTTATATATACGATATTATGGAAAGAGCTAAAGATCAAATCAAGAAGAACTTGACTGGCACCGTTCACGAAAGACTGATCACTAAAGTGTGGTCAATAATTCAAGCACGATGGAGTGACCAACTTCATCATCCTTTGCATGCCGGTATAATGTATAAAATATTGCTATATTTTATTTATTTAATTTTTAAAGTTAATACAATTATTGGTATTAACTTTTAGTACATTTGTAGTCGGATATTACCTCAACCCCGCCATTTATTATGCACAAGATTCAGAAGTTGAAAATAATAGATACACTAAGACAGGACTATACGAGGCAATTGACCCACTTGTGCGTGATGAAGAAAGAAATGATACTTTACAGATGGAACTCAATCAATATGCCGAGACATCGGGGCAATTTGGATTAGCGGCTGCCATAAGGAATAGAGCTAAAGTAGCACCACGTAAGTATGATAATAGGATATAATATATATATATATATATACATATATATTTACATATTCAAAAGTTTATTTGTGTTTTTTATTAACTTAATATACCTATAAAACATAGATGTATGGTGGCGTTCTTACGGCATCGACACACCCGTGCTCCAACAATTTGCGATTAGTGTTCTAAGCCAAACCTGTAGTGCTTCTCCTTGTAGGAGGAATTGGAGTGCATTTGATCATGTAAGTTTTCTTTGTTATGGAAAATATATTAACTCAAATGAAACTTAAATTCAAGTTATGGTTTTAAATTTATCAATTATCATTTCAGTTTCACTCTAAGAAGAGAAATTGTCTTTTGCAAAAGAAGTTGAATGATCTTGTCTTCATTCAATATAACAAAAGATTGGAGAGGCGCTACAAATCTCTTAGGGTGCGTTTGGTGCACAGACAGGACTGGACAGGACAGGACGGGACAGGACAGGACAGCTGTTCAGCGTTTGGTAAGACAGGACAGGACAGGATAGAACTGGTTAAAATGACCAATTTACCCTCAGTGAGCTGTTTAGTGTTTTTTCACTACAAAATGCATTCTGGTAACACTGGTCCTACTACCACTACAGCCCTAATAATTCATCAACAACAACAACAACATTCAGCAACCATAATCAATATAAACTCTCGAAATAAATCATAATACTTCATTAAAATCCCTAATAAGTACTTCAATTAATCAAGTTGTTGGCGAAATCGAGTACGAAACCACCATCAAAATATAATTCCTTACTTTCATGAAACAAGAAGAAAGGTATTTGAAGAGTTTCTTCAAATTCGTGATGTAGTTGCTGTAAGAAGCAGCGGCGGCGGCCATCGGGAGAAGCAGCGGCGACGGCCATCGGGAGAAGCAGCGGCGGCGGCCATCGGAAGAAGCAGCGGCGGCGGCCATCGGAGAAGCAGCGGCGGCGGCCATCGGAAGTCACCGTCACCGGTCGCCGGTTGAACGGTGGAAGCGATGGAGGAGAGGAGAGTGAAGGGGAAGAAGGAAGGTATGCGTATGAGGTTTTTGAGGGTAAAGTGATAAAAAGTTTCTTGTTCTACTTAGTTCTATAGGTAAAGGGTGGACAACCTTGTCCCACCCTTGTTCTAGTTTGTTCTAGTTAGTCCCATATAAAACCACACCAAACATAGGACAATTGTGTTCTGTCATGTCCTGTCCCACCCTGTCCAACGTACCAAACGCACCCTTAAGGATAACAAGTCTTCAAATCCGATTTTCTTGATAGATGAAGAAAATGATGATTGGGTGGTTCCAACCAACGTTGAGCTCCAAGACTTTATGGATGCAAGAGATGGTCTCCTTTGGTCGGATGTACGAGAAGCAATGGGAGGTAATGAACAAGTTGGGCCGAGTACAAGAAGTAAAAGGGAGCGTTATAGAGATGATCATGATCATGATCATGTCGGAGATGAAGGGGAAGATTGGGAAGCTAACTTAAACGAAGAACTAAATGTATTAGATGATGTTGACTCAGATGTCGAACCTATTGCTTGCGATTAGCTCATTTTTTAACACTTATCCTATTTTGTTTTGTGCGACTTGTTCATCAGTTTATGTGATGTTTTAATTTTGAAACTATATTTCTAAACTCTAATTAATACAAATGATTTGTTTATGGATGCATACATATAATATATATATATATATATGTAATTCTAAGAAATATATATATATATATGTAATTCCAAGAAATATTATATTAACCGCTATTTTGGACCGATATAATCGATATATCGAATATCGGTCCTAACTGATATTTTGTATTTTGACCGCAGTAACAGCATAGAGGAAGAGTTGACTATGGACTTCGAGGGCCTTTCGTGCTCCAATAGTTTCGACATTGTGTTAGTAGTGGTGACTACCTCACCATATTCGCCATTACCTAGCATGAAACTAACCCTTTAGAGAGACTTTACTGGCCGGCCTATTCATCAAAGAAGCAATGCCATCTGAGATCAAGTCTTCATGAGCTTCTTTTGGCAAGAATTATTCCACCTCCAAGGTCCCACTTTATTGCGTAGCATGGTTTACCATCCCTAAAATGTTCGTCAATAAGAGAATGTTAACAAATCACTCGAGACATTCCTTTGATCAGAGCAATCCTCGTAGGTGGGGACAATGATTACCATGGGCAGAATTTTGGCATATTACTTCCTATCATATCTCAAATAAATGTACACCTTTCAAGGCATTGTATGGTTAGGATCCACATCATTTTAACTTTTAACCATATTCAACAGAGTAATCGCGGTGTTTGCGGCCTTACACGACTTTTGAACAACACGTGAAAGTTATGGCTGACAATCTCGCATCACTAGTATGTTCGATGTAGCAGACTGATCTACTTGAAACTCCAACCCTGCAGCCAAAAATCTATCTCTAACACACCATTGTTGAAACTTGTTGATGGTTCGTTCAAAATTGTCCAATGCATCGGCGCAGTTGCCTATAAGCACCAGTTTCTTAGAGACTACTCATATTCACCCCGTATTCCACGTATTACAGCTCAAAAAGGCTATTGGGGAACAACGTGTATCACCTTTGTTACCCCCACATATTGATGAGGATTTGGAATTAGAAGTAGAATCAGTCCTTACTTGAAAATCAATCTACAGGAAGGTCAGAGGGACAAGAGTGGAAGTGTTGCAGAAATGGAAAAACTTATTTAGAGTAAATGATTGTTGAACTAGCTATAAATAGTAGAGGAGAGGAAGGAGAATGTTTATGTAGAAAAGTATCATGTTTCGTATGGGAGAGTCTAGCCTCTCGAATTGGTAGTTCTTTTTCTTATTGGGTAATCAAAGCTTTCGGCATCCTTGTTTCCACCTTCATAACTTGTTTGTCCAATGCTCTTAGTCCATAACAGGTTCACCTTATATTAGCATACATTACCATGTATGTATACCTTCGTATTGAGTAATAATATCTTTTGTTCATCATAACATGGTATAAGAGACCAAAGCTCTTAGTTGGTCTCCAACTAATCCAAGCTAAGAATTTGTTTATCAGAGTCGGAGTGTATTCTCAAGTTTATATTCTGACTAAACTAAAATTGAGTCTAATTGATGAGGCTACTCCTACTTATGGAAGTGACTCTGAAGAGACCTTCAATCTCAACCTATGAATGAGTCTTGGTTCATATTTTGATTGCTCAAATGTTTATTCATCACTAGCCTAATCCCAGCTTGATGTCAAGGATGTCTTTCTGAATGGTGTTCATAAAGATAGGTTTATGGTGTTAAATGTATGTTGTTGAGATATCTTTTTGTGGCCTTAAGCACAAACTCAGGCTGGTTTTGTTAATTCTCTCAAGCTCTTCAGAGATTTCGTACAGTTTGGTGTGATTATTATTAATTATTATGCTTTCAGCATAGGAACTGTATTTGGATTTTCCATATGATTATAGATGATGGTTCGGTACAGATTATAGCTCTATAATTGTTTATTAAGAGAAAATTCCAAACTGAAGGCGTAAGAAACTTGGATATTTTTAAGTATTGAGGCTTCTCGATCCGATAAAGGCATCATCATGTGTTTGCCATGTTCTAGAGTTGGCAAGCTTCTCTAATGAATCTTCATCTAATTATTTGAAGTTCTATCTAGATAACCTATAGGAGGTTAGAAAGTTGAACTCTGCAGATTGATAGTCTTCTCAACAAATCCACATTGAAGTCATTGGATGTAGGGGTGTAAATGATAGCCATTTCTCAAGCTCGAACTCAACTCGAAAACTCGTGAGTAGTTAAAAACTAAACTCGACTCGAACTCGATTGCAACTTTTTAAACTCGAACCCGTTTGATGCTCGAACCAAGCTCAAACTTCTACTCGAATCAAGCTCGAACTCAAACTGAAACGTGGGACAACTTCACCAATACTTCTATAGTTTTTGTCTTTTTTAATTATGATTTTAATAAATAAAAATTATGATTAGTTTTTATAGTTAAAAATTCACAATATTGTTCAAGTATCTAAAAATGCAAGACATTTTTATTACATTATATTATACATATTATTTAGTAAAACTGATTATATTTTTAAAACTAATTATATATAATAAAAAAAACGAGTATCTCACGAGCTTCTCGAGTCGAGTATTGGATAGCTCGACTCGACTCGTTAATAAGTCAAGTCAAGTTCGAGTTTGAGCCGAGCCCATTCAATTCGAGTATTGACTAAGTTTTGCCCGAGTCAATCTCAAGTAACTCGTGAGTTGTCTCGTTTACATCCCTAATTGGATGCTATTGTACAAATTTTAAGATGGTCGGTATTTCCAAGCATCATTTGTTTCTTTTCGCTTGCAAAAATCTAACCAAGCTCTTTGGATTTAGCATATATGACCAAAATTAATAAGTTTAGTAGCTGCTGATGTTCACTTGTTTATTTCAGGTTTACTTTGTATTAGTTGATATATGTACTACATGTATATACACGTGATAGTGAGTAGTAATATTCCATACTTCAAGTTCCCCTGCAACAACATAAAAATTAAACCAAACGGACCCATTACATCCAATGCATATTTAGGGTCTCGTGGGGTAGGATATATGCAGACTTGCATCTACCCCAAGGGGTAGAAAGGTTGTTTCCATGAAGACCAACAAAAAAAAACATGCGAGCGAGCACGCTACTTGTGAGAGTGCATGCAAACAAGCAGTGGTTCGTTATAAATATATATCTAAGAGCAACAAATCAGAATACCTTTTGCATTTCCATCAACAAAATAATCCATAAGAAAGAACATGAAAGAATCTTACCCTATTTTAGAACCATTCTTTCCGACTATAATTTTACGCTGGCTGACTTTGTTAGTGATAAGATGCTGTTCAATCCTTACAGAACCATCGCGCAATTCCTTCCAATCTATTAATCTATGTTCAACATCATATGGAATCTCCTGTTACAAATGAAGTTGGTTGTTCATTTTTAAGCTCCATCAAACGTGGATCTAGTGTTTTATTTCTGCATCCCACAAGACTTGCAACATCGACTCCAGGTGAAAATTATTAATGGTTGACTAGTAAAATATTCAAATATGAAATACCCTTGCAATTAAAGTCATGTGGACCATAACATGTACTCCCTTCGTCCCAAAATGTCCACAATGTAAAAGGCAAACAGTCTTAGGAATGTTTGTAACTATTACAGTTTTTAACCAAAAAGGACAACTTTACCCATAATTATAGAGAATTCTCCATCTCATAATTAGGGGTAAAATGGGAAAGTAGACTTAGTTTTAGAAGTGGACACTTATTTTGGGACAAACTTAAATAGTAATGTCTACACTTATTTTGGGACGAAGGGAGTAATTTAACTTTTTAAAATAGTCAAATAAAGAAAATGTTGCAACTCTTGTAGGATATCCAAATAGGGAGAATCTTTTTTCTTTCTTTTTTTGGTAACTGTGGGTGTCTGGGCTAGTTTCGACTAATCCCATAGGGGCTTCAAGTTAACAACCACGCAAACCCTGAGGGGACTTGCACTGGTGCCCAAGGTCTTACCAGTTGAGTTACCCAATAGGGTAAATAGCAATCCATGTAAAATTGGAGTGCGTAACAGGAAAACATTTTTCTTGAATAGAAAATCCAGAGACATTGCCATAAATTGGAAGAAGAAAAAGACCCAAGAAATACCTGATGCACATGGTCTAGAAACTTTTCCCTAACAACTTCTAGTGATATGTTCTTCATGACATCTTCAGTCATGATGAGAGGATCTTCATCCCATGGTCTTTTAACTGCCTAACATACGAAAACATCATACGCACATGATTAGACACAATCATTAGTAGGAAAAATAATACAATTTGTGCAGTATTGCATGCAGCACAGGTTCCTCTAGCTAAATAAATAGAAGAGATAGCAAAGTAAAGGCATAATGAGAGCATCATAACAATGGATAAAAGTTAAAAAAGAAATGGCGTACAGGCCATGAATATAATGGCCTGAATCGTCCTGTCAAAGTATGCATGACTAAATCATGGTTGATCATAATGGCATAATTCCAGAAACTTCTGGAGTAGATAGCTTCAACGAGAGCTATTTAGGTTGTCCATAATAGGTCAGGATGTTCACCAGTATGGCAATAACTGCAACATTTCCTGGTCTACAAATAACTCCACCAGCACGTTTAGTTCATCTGGAAGAACGGAAAGATCCACAAAACATCCAGCTAAACTTGCTTATTTTTCCATTGTCATCATCACAAACCGCCATTTGTATTAATTCTAGTCAACAATATTTCTCTTATGTTGCCTTGAAGGGCCTTTAAGAAATTTCATTGATAGTCAAAACACATTTGTAAAACCAGTTGCAAGCCAAATGTTGCTATGAACTGAGCAAGTAAAACATCTCTCTGCTCATGAGTTTACTCCTCTGCCAGGTAATATAAATGTGAATGTCAAACTTAATAATAGTACATTAAGATTAATTCATTGAAACCAAAGGGCCTTTGGCCTAGCGGTATCGTAGCCCTTGGCCTTCTAGGAGGTCAGGGGTTCAAACCTCACCATAGGTGAGGAGGGGGTGTGAGTTTATTTGTTGCATTTGCCGTATATAAATATTATATACTTCAAAAAAAAAGATTAATTCATTGAATTTTCTTTGAAGTAATATTAAAAGAGCAAGAAGAAAAAGAATGTGAAATCAAATTTCATAAGTGCAACAAAATAGGAAGAAACATGCCTGTTCCATCAAATATTGCGTAAGATCTTTGACTCCTGAACCCTTTAGCCCAGAAATCATGAAATACCTAACATGGACAAAAAAGAACAAATAATTGTAAGTTGAGAAGTAAAAAAATCTGGGATGAAAAAAAAAACATTAAACAACGTGATTACCTTTCATATCCAGGAAGATCATTGAACTGCTCAGCAACCTTCAACAGATCTTTCTTTTTCTCTACCAAGTCTACTTTATTCATGCATAATATGCGTTTTTGTTTTGGATTGACTTGTGAACCCATTTGTTTAATAAGTTTAACCACTCTTTTATCAGGCCTATATACATATATACAAATTGAAAAATATATAATTAGTCTTGATCCAATATGTTAACCATTAAGAAGAATAAACAGAGTATAAAGTTAATCAAACACAATGTAATGTAGGTAAGCTTCTTCCGCCTTAGAGAGTTGACATAGCTTGCAAAAACCCATATGTACATAGACAAAGTTGAATCTCTTATTTTGAGGCTAACCCTAACTGTAGTCAAATGGAATCCCAATATGATTTTGCTTCTTCAATCAAGGGACTCATAGCTTATAATAGATCATGGACCTATTCTTCATTTAATAAACCATTACCTGAATGTGTTCTAGAAGTAAACCAGTCTTGCCACCCATATCAGAGTGCAATATGCAGGAATTCATGCTTCAGAGTTCAGACCGATGTGTAGATTGCTTAATGGCATAAAGACAAGCTCAAGTTGAGTTGAAAGTTATGTTACGTTTCTAAGGTGTAACAAAGGACCTCATGGCTGTCAAAAGTACCCCTAGGCGAGGCAAAAATTTGGGGATTTAAGAGAAGGAAACCCAGATGGACAAAAACTACAGCAAACATATAATAGAATATTCTACATTGTAACCAAGTGTCGCCTATATGTTCTATTAGCTGCAAGGGAGACATGCTTCTTCAAGTAAAACCATGCTACTGCGTTTTTAATACTAACTGATGACATGGCACCATAGATGACTGGGTAGATAAGATCCATTTGACTGCTGGTATATAATCATGCAAGCCTTATTCATACATATGGTGCATGAAGGTTAAGTTATATCAACACTCATGACGAGAAGAGCACATATCATTTGAAATGATCATTTAATTAGTCAGTAAAACACGACAATATTACATGCAGTGTAGGCCTAATTCTTTTTATATTCACCATTTTACTTGCATGATGTAACAGTAATCCATATCACATCTTCATTTCTCCACACACCATAAAATGAAAATCTTAAACACTGGTTTTTTCCCTTAGGCATGTATGCATGTAAGAAAAGAATTAAGACACAAGAAAAACAGAATGTCTGATAAAAGATTAACCTGGTAAGATGTCTATGAACATCAAATATAACAACGAGCATGTCATAAAGATTCACTGAACTCCATGCACTTTCAACTCGAACTTTAATGTCAGATTTTGGAAGTCCATTACTTCTCATAATAAGACCCGGGGTGTCAAAGAAACACTGTTACCAAAGAAAATTCTAAAGTGAGCATAATTGTATATATGTTATGCTACAAAAAGCTAAAAGCATAATGAAAACAGAACAGGGGAAAATTAGTCCCCAGACATGTAGCAGACCACCTCATTATCTCTCTGAACAAGGAATATGGCTTATTAGAAGAAGAAAAGCATGTAGCATGAGCATATATGGCTCCTAAGCAAAAAATGGAGTACTTCCACTTTCTGAACATAATCAGGTTCCAAACAGCAATTCTACTAATCAGGTTCCGGAAATCAATATGGGATGGGTGAAATGGCACAACATTTCTAAACTCTAATTAATGCATATGATATGTTTATGGATGCATACATATAATATATATATATACATATAATATATATATATACATATAATATATATATACATATAATATATATAATATATATATATATATATATATAATTCTAAGAAATATCATATTAACCGCAACTTTGGACCGATATATCACCGATATGATCGAGATATCGAATATCGGTCCTGACCGATATTTATTTTAACCGTAGTAACAGCATAGGCTGAGAGGAATTATAGAAGTTGCACAATATCAAGGAAATTTTTCCCATAGGTCACCAGTTCAAGTCCCCAGAGAGTCAGTAGTGGAGTGGTCTGACTGTTAACTTCAGGCCCCATGGGATTAGTCGTTAGTCAAGGTGTGCACAAGTTGGCCCAAACATCCAAGGTTACCAAATATCAAGGAAATTTTGACAGACCAATATGACAATCAAGTATAGACGATAAGCATCTTTTTTAATAGATGCACCTATAAGATGGTAGCATATATATAAAAACCACACAAAGAGGAGTCCCATTTCTTTTGAAGGTACATACTATTTGTGTTTTTCCTTGCGTCATTACTCCTAATACTTCATGCGTAGTTGTGTTCGTCTTCCGTGAAACAGCAGCAACCTTCGTCCCAACCTAGAAAGGTAAATAAGAAGAAATACTCAAAACATAAGTTGAAAGTCACCAATGTTAAATATTACAAGCATCAAGTACAAGCAACCAGCGGTACTTTATTGAAAATGTCCACTTTCCATCGACCGAGTATCAACTATCAAGTAGTGGAAAAGCATTGCAAACAATTTTTGCTCCATGTCTCCTATGGGCCAAGTACATGGAGCAAAAATTGCTACCATCAACAAACATTTACTCAATTGAAGAAGTTTTACCTATCTATGGAGTAGTTTTAATTAGAAAGCCCAATTGCAAAGATTGCCCAAAAGATTGTACAGATAAAAATTGAAAAAGGTACTGAAGAGAAGCATCAAAGTCATTCAGCTGCTGACTTAAAGAAGTATCTTCAACAAAAGAAAAAAAAAACTTCTGTTTTGATGTAATTATAAATGTGTCTATGTCATAAATACTTGTTCCTATTCATTCCATATGCTATATATTTTCTCCCAATGAAAATGTTTTTTTCCCAGAAATATGTTCCATACGACAAATTCCTGGCCAGACTCTATTCCCTAAATGGAGATCAATGATGATCATATTTCCATTGATTCAGACCTAGATGATTTTCAAATCTTTTGTCTATGGTGCCACTAACAGTAATGCCAACATACCACCATGAAAATAACTTCCAACAAAATACAGCAACTAAGTAAAGACTTCAAAACTAGAGTAAAGAACCGGCATCGTATCAGCAGCCTATACTTGCTTCATCTTAGATTTATATAGTGACAAGCAATAAAACCATATGGCAACACGTACAAATTTCATCCATATATTCCTCATATTCAGTTAAAACATATGAACTTCGTCAATAACGATTGAATTGAACTTTGATATTCCCAAAAAAAGCATGATGAGCGTTGACTTCTAACATCATAACAACATGTTATATCTATAATTACCAAATGTTTCTTGAAAATTGATATGTGGATTTTAGCTGAACAAATGATTTCTTGTATGTCCACCAATATAGTGCCAGATGGCATTTTCGTATTGATCAGTTTTGCTTTCTATTAGACTTGCTTTTGGTCTGATAGAGTATATATATAGATCCCTCTTTTGTAAACGGGGATATGAGATTTACTTATGAAATGAAATAGAGAGCAGCAGAGGGTTTTCTCTGGCTGATTTGTTGAATTGCAACCAATTACCACCCTAAAACGTAGCCAGGAAAAATTCCTGCTCAGTAGCGCAGTGGCAGAGCGGTCGGCTGTTAATTGACTGGATTGACTAAGAGGGGGGCGGGCGCAGCAGCTACATGGACCCCTAAGGCTCAAATCACCATTATAGTTAAAAGTGGTATAACAGCTACATCTTGTCCCTTTGTGGTGTATGGTTACGGTAACCAACCATCAACTGATGGAGAGGTATGAAGAATTGAGGCAGAAGATTGATGGTCACCATGAGATCCTTAAACAGATGCAGGAGAGCATCTCAGATTTGGCAGTTGCAGTGAAACTTATGGTTGTGACCCAAGGTAAGGAAACGAATCTGGAAACAGATGATGAAGAAGCAGAAATATACTCCTCCACCAAACCAAGGTTATCAACTGGTCAATTGAATGACCAAATTGGAATTTCCACCATTTGAGGGTGATGATTTCAACGATTGGCACTATACATGCAATCAATTTTTTGAGTTGGATAACACCCCAGAGAAGATGAAGATCAGATTGGTGGCTATACACTTGAAAGGGAGAGCACTTCAATGGCATCAGGGATTTATGAAGGAGATGGAGGGGAAAACTGTGACCTGGGAAACGTACTTGAAGGAGCTCAGAGGGCAATTTGTTGAGGGAGTGGTGTCCAAACCTCTGATTGAACTTCGCAACCTTTGTCAAACAGAAACTGTAAGTGAGTATAATCACCAATTCAATTCCCTGAAAATCAAGTAACTATTCCTCATGACATGTTGCTTGATCTATATGCTGGGGGTCTCACCAGGGAGATTATGCACACTGTGCAACTCCTTGACCCAAAATCTCTTAGCCAAGCCATGAGAATGGCAAAGCTACAAGAAGGGGTCTTATGATGCACTTTGGGGGTTGGAACCACCTAAACCTGATTTTGTTAAAGAAACCTCATTTCTCCCCAATGATAAGAATCCCAATGTTATTTCACCATATTCCCGTGCTCCTACTTCCTTGCCAGCACCAAAATTCCTCCCCTCTACTCTATCTCAGAACCCTGTATTTTCAGCAACTAACCAAAGGAAAACAATCAATAGTCAACCTTACATAAAAACACAGACCCAGTCTTCTCAAGGATCCATTAATAAACTCATGTCTCTGAGACAATTGTCCAAAAAGAAATATGAAGAAAAGAGAAGGGACAATGAATGTTTCTATTGCACCAGAGAAATATCACCTCGGCATAAATGTAGAGGAAGTAAACTATTCATGCTGATTTGTCCAGATGCCGTGATACTTTTATTGGTGAAGAAGCATATAGTGACACAATGATTACCGATGAAGGGGATCTGGAAAAAGAGGGAGATGTGTCCATTTCAATACATGTTCTATTTGGGTTGTCCAATCTCCAAACATTGCAACTATGGGGTAGGATCAAAAAACAAGATCTACCCATATTGGTTGACAATAGCAGCACAAATAATTTTCTAGACCTAACTTTAGCCAACGGTTGGGACTGAAATTGATTCCTATTAAGGCAATGGAGGTGGCAATCGCTGATGGGTTGAAAGTATCAGCAAAATTTCTAATTAAAAGCTTGAAATAATCAAGGGGTCGAATTCATTGAGGATTTTTACGCCATGCCCATAGAAGGATAGGGAATCGTTTTGGGCCTGCAATGTCATTCAACTCTTGGGATATAAGGTATAATTTCAACCAACTATTTATGGATTTTTTATCGGAAGGAGGACAGGTAAAGTTGCAAGGGGGTCACAGAATCATCAATTCATCAGATGGAAATGTAAGAGAAGAACATGGTACTGATCACGCTTACTTGATTGTGTCTTCTCACAGTAGTACTCAATTGTATTCCCTTAAGTTAGAAGTAGCAGATTGGGAGGAGCAGTCCACAGATCCAAAAGAGGCCGATTTAATGTCACTTTTGAGGAGTTATGAAGATGTGTTTGTAACACCTAAGGAACCACCCCCACCAAAAAGTTTGGATCATGGAATTACTCTCAAGGAAGGTAGCAACCCCGTCAACTTAAAAGCATACCTATATAGTGCATTACAAAAAAAATCATTGAGGAGCTAGTCCAAGAGATGCTGGATTCAGGGGTCATTAGACAGAGACAGATTGAGTTTGCATCCCCAGTGGTCCTCGTGAAGAAGAAAGAGCAGCTGGAGATTCTGTGGACTATAGAAGACTCAATTGCCTCACAGTAAGGAATCAATTTCCAATTCTATAATAGAGGAGCTTATTGATCAATTATATGGTGTGTGCTATTTCTTGAAATTAGACTTGAGGAGCGGGTATCATCAAATCCGCATGAAGGAACCTGATGTTTGTAAGACTGCATTTAGAACTCATGAAGGTTTATATGAGTTTCCGGTTATGCCATTTGGGCCGTCAAACACTCTTGCTACATTCCAACATCTCATGAATCGGTCCTTAAGGCTTATCTAAGAAAATTTGTTTTGGCTTTCTTCGATGACATTCTGGTTTACAGCAACAGTTGGGAAGACCATCTTCGTCATCTGCAGGTGGTTTTGGATGTCCTAAAAAACAGAATCCTTGTTCACTAAATTCTCAAAGTGTCATTTTGCTAGCCACAAGTAGATTACTTAGGGCACATGATTAGTGCGGAAGAAGTTAAGGCCAATCCTCAAAAGGTTGCTGACATGGTGGATTGGCCTACCCAAGTAATCTTAATGAATTGAGGGGATTTCTTGGCCTTACGGGTTATTATAGACGGTTTGTAGAAATTGCGGTATCATTGCTAAATTTCTCACTAATTTTCTTAAAGAGGAAGCATTCAAATGAAGCGTTGAGGCTGATGTAGCATTCAAAAAGTTGAAGATAGCAACGTCAAGTACCGGTGTTTTGGGCCTACCAAAATTCAAAGAACCATTTATTATTGAAACCGATGCTTCGGGATAGGGTGTAGAAGTTGTCCAACACAAAATAATCATCCGATAGCATTATTTAGTAGGGCACTTGGGCCTAAACACCTACCTCTATCCATATATGAGAGGGAACTTTTAGCCGCGGTTGCTGCAATTGAAAGATGGAGAGGCTACCTGCTGGGAAGGATCTTCTTTGTAAAGACAGACCAAGCCTTGAAGTATATTTTGGAACAGAAGGAGTGCAACCCAACACTATAAAAATGGTTGAGTAAACTCATTGGGTTGCAGTATATAGTATAATATAAAAGGGGGAAAGAAAATTTGGTGGCAGATGCTCTATCAAGAAAAACCCAGATCCCCGTAGCTTCATGCTTAGCTATATCAAGAATGTCTATGTGATGGCTGGAAAAAAATCAAGCCGAGTGTTCAGGAAGATGCAAAGTTGCAAAAGCTAATTGAGATGCTCAAAGGAGACCCCTTGGGACACAGTAAATACACCTTGATAGGAGAGGATTTGATGAGGAAAGGTAAACTTGTAGTGGGGAATGATAAGGCACTGAGACAAGAACTAATAAAATTCTTCCATGCAAGCGCTCTCGGGGGTCATTCCGGGGTCCATGCTACTAATCAGAAGGTAGCAAGGGGCTGTATTGGAAGGGGTTACAAGCTGAGGTCAGAACTTATGTTCGAGAATGCCACAGTTGTCAACAAAGTAAGTATGAAACCTCACCATACCAGGGGCTGCTACAACCAATAGATATTCCACACTGATTCTGGAATGTGATCACAATGGATTTCATAAAGGGCCGCCTAAGTCACAAGGTTACTCAACAGATTCTGGTAGTATTGGACAAATTGAGTAAATTTCACCACGTCATTGCTCTCAAACACCCACATACAGCCGCTATTGTGGCTCAAGCTTTAATGAAACAAGTTACCAAATTATATGGATGCCTGAAAAGATCATCTCCGATAGAGACCCCATATTCCTAAGCAATTTCTGGAAACAACTTTTCCTAGATCACAAGACTACGCTTGCTTACTCTACAGCATACCACCCTCAGTTTCATGGTCAAACTGAGGTACTTAACCACCGTCTAAAGACTTACTTAAGGTTTTTCACCATGCAAACTCCCTCATCGTGATCAAATTGGTTGCCCTTAGCACAATTGTGGTACAATACATCACACCTCTCTAGTCTAGGCATGTCCCCATATCAAGCTCTTTATGGTCAGACAACACCTGATTACATACATTATCACCTGAAAGATTCACTTAACCAATCAGTGGAAGTTGCGCAATCACTCAGTTCAATGGGAGTTGCCAGTAGTTTCAGAAAAAGGAGAGTTAAGGCCCATTCCCTTGAAGATCCTGGATTTAGGATGGTGAACTGAAGAAACAAGGCAGTGCCAGGTGCTTGTACAATGGTCTAACACCAAGGTGGAAGATAGCACGTCGGAAGAGTACCACGATTTCCAGATCATGTCCCTGAGTTCAACATCCGGAAGAATTACAATCCTTGAGGTCAAGGGTTGTTTGAAGATGGGGATACTGATACATGGCTTATTAATAGTTTTAATTGAATGAATGATTTCTTTTATGTCCAGTAATAATATAGTGCCATATGGCATTTTAGTATTGATCAGGTTTGCTATCTGTTAGACTTGCTTTTGGTCAAATAGAATATATCTCTTGTAAACGAAGGGTATGGGATTATTACGTAAGAAATGAAATGGAGAGCAGCAGAGGGTTTTCTCTGGCTGATTTGTTAAATTCATGGCTCAAATCACCATTATTGTTAACACAAACGTACAAATTCATATCAGTCGTAAAGTTATAACTCAGTAGCATTAACGTATGCAACATTGTGACGAAATGAAGTGGAAACAAACAAACCATGAAATTAGTGAGAGCAGATTTTCCAGCATTAGGAGCTCCAATTATCCCAACTGATAAAGACAACTGATCTTCCACCTTCACCACCTCATTAGCATCTTCCTCTTCATCATCGTCGGTTGCAGCCACTGCAGCTTCGAGCAAAGCCTTAGAAAGAATCGCAGTCCGACGCCTTTTCTCTTCCTGCTCCATCATCCTTTCACTCCTACTCTTCTTCTTGCTTTTCTTGTCCTTAACCAATTTTTCATGCTCTTCTCCGAATATACTTCTGTTAGCTTTTCGCCGATACTTTTCATCCCAAGTGGATTCTCTATTACCGGCAGGTGTCTCGGCCTCATTCGATCCTAAACCCAGATTCGTGTCTGGTAATTCGTAATGACTGCTGTCGAAGCCGAAGCCATTGTTGTCGGTTGTGCGACTTTCTTCGATTTCGAGTACTGGGTTTTCTTGTAGGGGTTGGGATGCGTAGAATCGAAACAGGAAGGTGGGGTTGAGATGAGAGGTTCTTGAAGAGCGAGTAGTAAGTATTTGAAGAAGTCTCAAAGCTTTCATGGTGAGGCCTGTAATCAACTAAAAACATGTACTACGAACACAATTACGCATCAAATGGAAACCCGAATTTGGATTTATCAAAGAGGGGGGCGGAGGAAGGGAGGAGGGGAGAGGAAGGGTTCTATTCAGGGTTTAACACAGCAGAGATGAAAGGAATCAACCAACCCAGTTTGCAGGAAGTATCCTTGTGCTCTGAAATTTTGCAAATAGCCCCCAAATTGGTAAAGCATAGAAATGGTTTCACGATAATCAGGGCCGTAAACAAATCGAATGTTCAGCGAACCGTTCGTGAATCGTTCGGAAAGAAGTTCGTTTACGTTCGTTTATTTAATAAATAAACGGACATGAACAAAAAAAATTTGTTTGTTTAGTTAAACGAACGAACATGAACAAGAATCTCATCCGTTCATTTATGTTCATAAACGTTCGTTCATTTACCACAGTTTACGTTCGTTCGTTTATATACTAAATTTAATATATAATCCTTTGTTTATTTATTTTGAATTCAAATAATATTTATTTATGTTCGTTTCGATCGTTCGTTTATGTTCGTCCGTTTAACATGTTAACGAACGAATATAAACGAACACGAACACAAAGATTTCTAAAACGAACGAACACGAACACAAAGATTTTCCTTCGTATACCGTTTGTTCGGTTAAGTAAAACGAACGAACATGAACAAGCCTCCTTTCATGTTCGTTCGGTTCGTTTACAGCCCTAACGATGATTCCTATCCTTTTAGAGTAAATTTCATTATTGGTCCTTGTGGTTTGTTAAAAGTTATGATCTTCATTCTTATAGTTTAGATATTATGGTTTTCATCTCTATAGTTTGTAAATCACTCTTCTCCTTCTTATGATTTATGATTATTGTTTTCAGTCCTTATGGTTTACAATTTTTTACTATTTTGGTCCCTTGTATTTAAAAAGTAAGATTTAGTTCAAGGACAAAGATAACAATAAGTTACAAAACATAACTGCATGAAATTAGTCCTAAAAAACTCAGTAATCATAATTGTTGTGTACACTTTAATATTTTAAACAACTAAATCTCTGAATATTTTTTAAAAAATAAATTTCTACGCTTTCTAAAACCAATTAAATAGAATCTAAAATAAAACCAATAAAAAAACCATTTCATTGTTGTCCCAAAGCCTACGCATAAATAGATTCATATAAAAGTTGCATTCAATGCAAAGAAATCGAAAACAAGATTCATCAAAATAGAAACCAACAATACATAAACACTGCATCCATCCAAGCATGTGAAACTTGATTCTCTAAGCCTCTTTGGAGTTGAACTCCTCATCGTTTAGTAAAATTCATGAAAAATGGAATAGAACGGTATGTAGTTGAAATTGTTAGTTACCCACAATAGCAACCCGGAGAACAAATGACGGCGTCATGCCATATTGGTTAATAGAGAGAAACCTCAAAACTATTAGTCTCGACTTCTAAGAGCTTAACAACAACGAATTATGCAATAATCACATTTGGATGCCCCTTTTTTACTTTTTGTTTTATTGATGAATTATACGGGTGGTATGCTTAAAGTTTGTGTTTGGTCCATACACAAATTATCTGCATTGATGGTCTCTAACTGTATAATTTTATAACACTTAGCAACCGTTAGGAGGAAGAAATCAGTCTTTGGGTAAACTACAGGAATCAAAAGTGTAATTCATTCTAAAATTAATTGCGATTCGTATTTTTAAATGTTTTATTAAAAACTAAAAGGGTGCCCGCGCAATGCAACGAGATAATCTCGATTTTAATTTTTAGTTTTTATTTTTTGTCTCTATCGATATAAGTAGATTTATGTGGTTTTGAGAAAACGATAATGTTTTTATTTTTGAATGAAATATAAATTTGAAGATAGTATAAAAAATTTGAAAAAAATAAAATCGATATTTGTATTAAATTAAATATTTAATAGTTCTTATTTTTTTAGTGTAATTTTTTTAATTTAATTTTTTATTATAATTTAATTTAGGTTTGATAATATAATTTTTTATAACGATAATAATTAAATATTCTGTTAGAATTTAATGATTATCTTAATTATATTTTAGATTTTCTATATTTAAAATAGATGTTTATTTTGTATTTGATTATGTTTATCTGGAGTTAGTTACACGAATTTAAAAATGAAGTTTTAATAAGCTGTACTTATGCAAAATCACATGTAATCTTGAATTTTAAGTAATATGCATCAATAAACAGTACTTTATGCATAAAAAATTGTTTTAAGAGTTTTTGTCAAATGTTTTATAATATAGTATAGATATTTTAAGTAATTTAGCTTAGTATATTATATATTAAAAAATGTTAGGATAAATATTTTTTGGTTATGAAAATAATAATTATGTTTTAAAAGTTAAAATATTATGAGACATTATTAAATTGAATTATCAAATAGTTGTGAATAAACTACAACAATTAATTCGATATAATAATCGAAATATTTTTTGTTAATTGTGTTTAAAATATTTTTAATAAAAAATTTGTGAATCATAGTTAATTTTAAAGTAATTACATTATTGGTCCATGTGATTTATGTGTTTTAACAATTTAGATCCCCATTTTGAAATGTCTATGGATTACATTCTTGTGGTTTGCATTTTATAACATAGTGGGTCGCTAAATCTAACTCCATCCAAATAATTTTGTTAATATAGTTAGTTTAGAGGGGTATTCTAGTCATTTAATTTAAATTTTACTTTCTATTAAAACCACAGGGACCAAGAATGTAATTTCGTCTTTTTCTGCATTAGGAAGGCTCCTTTATGTGTCAATTTGGTCTTTTTACCCGATTCTTCTTCATCCTCACTTCCATCTTCGAAAATGTAACACCTCGGTTAAAAAACCTCAAGTTACCAATTTCAAAATCTCCAATAAAAAAAACATTGATTAACCTCAAAATACGATATATATTAATTTTCTAGAAAACTTCGAAATGTTCGTTCTATTTTAGTGATAAATACCAACCAAAACATAATTCCAAATCGGACATAACGGATTTTTACTTACAACCCGAATTAAGTAGCAAAATAAACGGGACATACATATAACAAGGAATAAAACTAATTACAAGCTACAATACTACATCTATAAGTAACAGTGATAAACTATTATATACCAAAAGTAAGTTCTTAGTCTTCAAAGTGCCCTCGATAAACCTCCAAGTCAAAGAGCGGGTTCTTTCCTTTTATCCGTCTTCTTTCCTGAGAGGGATTGACACTTAAAGGGTAACCAAACGCTTAGTGAGTTAGATAATTAAATATTACATATCAATATCGCACATGTGTATAAACATACATGGTAAACTCTTATAAATAAAAGAGTTCAAGATATCAATCGAATGCAAACTGAGACTTATAAGAAACCGAGTGAACAAATACGTATCGAATGTTAAGATCATAGGATTCCATATTCAACCCACTATAACATACCATACTATTGATGGTCAAACACAACAAGGAAACACGACCAATAACTAAATATATTCGACAACGTTATAATACTAATAAATATCAAGAACCAAATAATCAAATCGATAAACATAATGAGGATAGGGCACCACCTCGACCTTCACCTTCCGAGCTCATGCTAAAGTACGAGTCACAATTGTACATCACGGGGAACCTTGCCTTGCCCGCCTTCCTATACCGAGTGTGTGCCAAGGTTCCCTACTCGTTGCTCTTCCTCCTTTTTTAGCAATGAATATCCACAACCGCCAAAAGTCTCACCCGTCAAACCCGGGATCTTGACCTCGCCATCAACTTCCGGCATGCCACAGGAAATGGTACATGTACTATGTCGTACAATCCAATGAATAAAACAACGAGTCCGGATCCGAAAAGCAAACTGATGTAACGAGATCATAATACGGAATAGACTCTCAAGGGACGGAATAAAAGCCAAATCAAGACCATGTGACTCAATTCAAGACCAGAAACATTCATGCAATATATATATATATACACAAAAAAAAAAACAATATGTAACAATTAACTATATAACTCACCGAGCAACCGTACAATACCGAAAAGCTCCGAAATTAGCTCACGAATGAAAGTCCAATCTACCACACCTATAATGTTTCAAAAGCCTCAAAATATGTTTTAATTACTTCCTGGAGTGTACGTACAAAATCTCATAAGCAACCAATATAAGAAACTCAAGTTATATACATTTTCTATTTAAACACTTTACATTGATTCTCATGTACAACTGCTACTTGCAGATATGTTTTGTCCATTTTAAACTCAAATTCATGTCTTGATCATATAAGAAATAAACTAAACTCAATTATCTAACAAATGCAATTGACCTCACTGCATTTGGGCTTTTCTATGATTTTATACAACTTTTCAAAGTTTGCATATTTTCAGTGCCTTCAAATATTTTATTTTCATACATTTTTCGTACTATTTCAATTTCAAAATCTTCCAATTTATGAGTTTCATCTTAATATAATGTATTTGACATAAAAAACCAGAATCCTACTTTAATTTCATCATTGATATCATCTCCCCAATTTTTTACTTAACCAAGTCAAAGTTCATATGATGAACTTGCTTATTTTTTGCTTAAATCTTGATAATCTTTTAAACCTAATGACCATTTCATGCCATAAATACTAAAATATGCTCGTTTATACACTTAAGATCAAACCCATATAAAACTCTAACTCTTTCTTAACATGCCATCCATATATCAAGAATGTTAATCAAGAACAAGTGCAAAGATGGATTGTATATTTAATTGATGATCAAATCCTTCAAAAATCTTGTAATTTCTCTTTGATTTGAGTTCGAAATAAGCCTATGTGTGTGAAAATCGCACATCTAGTGTGTGTATAAGTTTTGGACTCATAATGACAGAAAATGGGGACAAAATTCGTGTTTTCTACGCTAAATCCCGAGTTGGGTCGGGTTGACCCTATTGGATACCCATTTTGACTATCAACATTTAAAATATTCATAACTTTTGGTTGAACCTCCGTTTTCGATAAGGTTTTCGCCTACACATTTATATATAGATAATCTATAACGTCCAACAAAATAATACCAGAAAAGATCTTCCAAAAAAAATCAGTTTTACATATCCATTTGACGTG